AATCTTCAAAATTCAGTTGATAGCTTCAGACATCAGGATTCAGGGTTGGATTTGATTTTCTTGCTGGCCAAGACACGTATTTAGTGGAGTAGCCCAGACATGGTTGTGGATATAATTTTCTTCTTAGAAAATGAAATGTTTTTATATTGATTTTGTTGCTATGGACATAAGGCAGTTTTAAATGAGAAGAAAATTGTTAAACTGTTGGGACTGCCATGTCTATAGAAGGCCTTTATCTGCTTTTCATTATAAAGATAGTCATTCTGACTGGGACCTACGATTGTGAAGTCGGGTTTCTATTCACATCTCTGTAGTCTGGTCAAACAGAATTATGATTCCTCCTTAACCCCATTACAATGACAGCAGTAGGGGGATGTCCAGCCTACTGACCATTCATATGTATTTGTATTTATGTATGGGAGTCAGATGTGTAATTTGTTTGTGCAGGCCAGACAGGTGATAATTCCCGGTCCCAGATTGTCACTCAGACGTAATCATTGTCCCCAGGGAGGGGGCTCCGTGATATAACTGTCACATCTCATTACAACCACCCCATACTATCAGTGCTGTTAAGTCTTCTATAGACGTCTGTACTTCTCAAGTTTTGTGTGTGTTACCATCAGTGATATTTATCTTCTATAGATGTCTGTACTTCCCAAGTTTTGTGTGTGTTACCATCAGTGATATTTATCTTCTATAGACGTCTGTACTCCCCAAGTTTTGTGTGTGTTACCATCAGTGATATTTATCTTCTATAGACGTCTGTACTCCCCAAGTTTTGTGTGTGTTACCATCAGTGATATTTATCTTCTATAGACGTCTGTACTCCCCAAGTTTTGTGTGTGTTACCATCAGTGATATTTATCTTCTATAGACGTCTGTACTCCCCAAGTTTTGTGTGTGTTACCATCAGTGATATTTATCTTCTATAGACGTCTGTACTCCCCAAGTTTTGTGTGTGTTACCATCAGTGATATTTATCTTCTATAGACGTCTGTACTCCCCAAGTTTTGTGTGTGTTACCATCAGTGATATTTATCTTCTATAGACGTCTGTACTCCCCAAGTTTTGTGTGTGTTACCATCAGTGATATTTATCTTCTATAGACGTCTGTACTCCCCAAGTTTTGTGTGTGTTACCATCAGTGATATTTATCTTCTATAGACGTCTGTACTCCCCAAGTTTTGTGTGTGTTACCATCAGTGATATTTATCTTCTATAGACGTCTGTACTCCCCAAGTTTTGTGTGTGTTACCATCAGTGATATTTATCTTCTATAGACGTCTGTACTCCCCAAGTTTTGTGTGTGTTACCATCAGTGATATTTATCTTCTATAGACGTCTGTACTCCCCAAGTTTTGTGTGTGTTACCATCAGTGATATTTATCTTCTATAGACGTCTGTACTTCCCAAGTTTTGTGTGTGTTACCATCAGTGATATTTATCTTCTATAGACGTCTGTACTCCCCAAGTTTTGTGTGTGTTACCATCAGTGATATTTATCTTCTATAGACGTCTGTACTCCCCAAGTTTTGTGTGTGTTACCATCAGTGATATTTATCTTCTATAGACGTCTGTACTCCCCAAGTTTTGTGTGTGTTACCATCAGTGATATTTATCTTCTATAGACGTCTGTACTCCCCAAGTTTTGTGTGTGTTACCATCAGTGATATTTATCTTCTATAGACGTCTGTACTCCCCAAGTTTTGTGTGTGTTACCATCAGTGATATTTATCTTCTATAGACGTCTGTACTCCCCAAGTTTTGTGTGTGTTACCATCAGTGATATTTATCTTCTATAGACGTCTGTACTCCCCAAGTTTTGTGTGTGTTACCATCAGTGATATTTATCTTCTATAGACGTCTGTACTCCCCAAGTTTTGTGTGTGTTACCATCAGTGATATTTATCTTCTATAGACGTCTGTACTCCCCAAGTTTTGTGTGTGTTACCATCAGTGATATTTATCTTCTATAGACGTCTGTACTCCCCAAGTTTTGTGTGTGTTACCATCAGTGATATTTATCTTCTATAGACGTCTGTACTCCCCAAGTTTTGTGTGTGTTACCATCAGTGATATTTATCTTCTATAGACGTCTGTACTCCCCAAGTTTTGTGTGTGTTACCATCAGTGATATTTATCTTCTATAGACGTCTGTACTCCCCAAGTTTTGTGTGTGTTACCATCAGTGATATTTATCTTCTATAGACGTCTGTACTCCCCAAGTTTTGTGTGTGTTACCATCAGTGATATTTATCTTCTATAGACGTCTGTACTCCCCAAGTTTTGTGTGTGTTACCATCAGTGATATTTATCTTCTATAGACGTCTGTACTCCCCAAGTTTTGTGTGTGTTACCATCAGTGATATTTATCTTCTATAGACGTCTGTACTCCCCAAGTTTTGTGTGTGTTACCATCAGTGATATTTATCTTCTATAGACGTCTGTACTCCCCAAGTTTTGTGTGTGTTACCATCAGTGATATTTATCTTCTATAGACGTCTGTACTCCCCAAGTTTTGTGTGTGTTACCATCAGTGATATTTATCTTCTATAGACGTCTGTACTCCCCAAGTTTTGTGTGTGTTACCATCAGTGATATTTATCTTCTATAGACGTCTGTACTCCCCAAGTTTTGTGTGTGTTACCATCAGTGATATTTATCTTCTATAGACGTCTGTACTCCCCAAGTTTTGTGTGTGTTACCATCAGTGATATTTATCTTCTATAGACGTCTGTACTCCCCAAGTTTTGTGTGTGTTACCATCAGTGATATTTATCTTCTATAGACGTCTGTACTCCCACAGTTTTGTGTGTGTTACCATCAGTGATATTTATCTTCTATAGACGTCTGTACTCCCCAAGTTTTGTGTGTGTTACCATCAGTGATATTTATCTTCTATAGACTTCTGTACTCCCCAAGTTTTGTGTGTGTTACCATCAGTGAAAATTATCATCTATAGACTTCCGTACTCTACCTTTCTGTGTTTCTATTTGTATTCGTTATGTTATATTTTCTACAATGATCGTCTTGTCAGTATGATGTATAACATCCAAACTAGCTATAAAGGGGGAGAAGAGCCAACGCCGTTCCAATATTAGGTAGGATCCTTTTGTTGGGTGTTGGCTACCTTGACGGTATGCCGGGTGTCCACTCAGTTGTGTGATTAAATTGTAGGGGTAGGAGTTTCCACAACATACACCAGCTTACAAGATTAATATGATGGATATTTTTTTTTATTACCAACCGGTTTTGCCAGTTATGGCTCATCAAGGTCAAAACTAGCTGTTACATTGTCAGCTAAGACTGAGGTCAATATATGAATATCACTAGGCACAAACATAATATTAAGTCTAAAATATTAAGTCTTAACAAGATATTGTTGGCTGAAGTTAAAAAATCTTCACAGATCTTTCTCAAATTTCAAATGGAAGTCCTCATGGTCCAAAGTTTGCATGTTTTGTGTTAAAACTCAGATCAGTAAATAAAGATGGCAGCCACCTTGAAGTTTTAGAGTTAAAGTTTGTTATTGCTGTTTCTCAAGAATATCTGGGTAATTTCTTCTTTAGATTTCATGTATAGGTTTCCCTTGGTCACTAGTTATGTTTTTTTACAGTTCATGTTTGTTATCACTATTTCTAAAACCAAAAAAAACATGCTTTGAAAGAGAGAAAAAAAAATCAAGGTTTTTATATACCGCCTCATCACAAACTAGTTCGTAGGTCGTCTCAAAGCGGTTCACAAATTATTATCCGTGGTTATAGGGCCTTTGCAACCAGCCAATATCTTTCTCAACTCCCTGGGGAGCATACAGCGGTGCTGCCATTTTGGCGCTCACAGCTAGCATTCAACAATTTTGCACTGTCCAACCACATACTCATTTACAGCTGAGTAGACTGGAACAAGCGGAGTAAAGTATCTTGCTCAAAGATACAACACAGTGCCGTGACTTGAACCTGCAACCCTTCGCTCACGAGCCCAACATCCTACCACTAGACTACCATGCCTCCGCAATCTCAAACCCAGCAGTATATAATTTTAATCAAAAGTTACCACAATGTGAATTTACTTTTAAAAGACTAAAAATCCAACAGATAAGAGAAATTAAGAGAAAAATATCAAACTTACAAAGATCAGTTTTACACAGAGCTAATTCCAGATGGTGGGAGCCAAGATCCTGCATGGATCTCTTGTAATTCAAACAGCTTCTTCTAATTACTGTTGAGGCTTATTATATACATATATGATAATATTTGGACTTTAGCATGCTGGGATGTAGAGCTACCAAGTTTGATCAAATTAACCTTCACACATATTGAAAGTCACAGGGGTCAGATGCATTTAAATCTGCAAACACCTCCTTCTCAATAACCAAAAAGTCACAGGGGTCAGATGTGTTTAAATCTGTAAACCCCTCCTTCTCAATAACCAAAAAGTCACAGGGGGCAGATGTGTTTAAATCTGTAAACCCCTCCTTCTCAATAACCAAAAAGCCACAGGGGTCAGATGTGTTTAAACCTGTAAACACCTCCTTCTCAATAACCAAAAAGTCACAGGGGTGAGATGTGTTTAAATCTGTAAACACCTCCTTCTCAATAACCAAAAAGCCAAGTCACTAGGTTGGTACTATAAAACGACTATCATTATAATTTGCATTCTGGTATATATTTCTAAAGTGTTATTACAACACGGTAAAACGAAGTTTTCAGAACCACTGATTCGTTCAGTAAGTTGATTTATATAGTGTACTTGCCTGGAGGTAAAATATGCTGGTCCAGAAATGTTCATTTGGGTATGGGTAGACTTTGGGACTGGTCAGTTGGGAAGGTAGACATACATTTTGATTGCTTGCTGAACTTGAATTTTTCTTGACTTGTACAAAGCTCTTATCTTGGTTCCTCATTCCCTGTACATACCATCAGTTGTTGTAGTAAACTATCACATTAATTGATACTGATGGTATTGAATTTACTAAACACACATCCTTTTCTCTTTTACAGGTGCAGAGGGTAACAAAAGAAAAGTGTTTGGAAATAATTAACAAATTTGAGCCTTCCAAAGATGGCAAAAACAAGGGCCGTCTTGGTATTGATGGTATGTTGAAATTTAATTTTGCTGATACTGTTGATCTCAGGTTAATATCAATCTGATGTATTCCACAGAATATTTTTAATATTCAGGTTTTCCAAAGGGTCTAGTGAGCTTTTGCTGTAGCTTGGCGATCGTCGTCCGTTGGTCTTGGTCAACTTTTTACTTGAAACAACTTCTTCTGAATAACCAGGAGGCCCTGGAGGGCGATGATAGTTGACCAGTAGGTATCTGGCATGGAGCGCTATAAAGTTTCCACAAATAATTGACCTTGACCTTTTTCTAAGGTCAAAGGGGTCAAATATGTAAAAAAAACCTTTAACAACTTCTTCTGCAATACCAGGAGGTCCTGGGTGATGATATTGGATCAGTAGCATGCTGAGATAAAGTTTCATTTAGTCTGGAACATTCTTAAGCCAATGAGACTCAATATATGGAAATATTTGCAAAATTACTTTTATTGAAAATATTTTCTCATGATTGCTGAAATATCGAGGTGAGAGATGACAGGCCCTCAGGGCCTCTTGTTTTAATCATATTATCTCATTATTTATCTTATTTAATTTGGGGCGATTAACAGGTAAAACATGTAAATGCACTGAAAAATTGGAATTAATTACTTGTGTCATAACTCCGATGAAACTTGTGCACTCCTTCAGATTCTACACTGATACTCCTAGGATCCCCGGATCTGTTACTATAGTGATGACAAAAGATATACTTAGTGCGAAGTGTAAAACGACTGAAAATTATATCTTCTTTACTTATAGTATATGGTTGTTATTCATGAATGTATGTGGTTATCTTCATTCAAAGAAACACATTTATAAAATATAATCTATGGTCAAACTTCTAAATGTCATATATACAGCACTCACAATCAGTTAATCAACCACTTGAGATTAGAATTTTCCAGATTGCGCAAACTGCTATCGATTGGAGACTATAAATGAAACATTGAAAAACTTGTTTGTAATTGGTAGGAATTCAGCTTCGTATTTCCCTTGATTGGATTAAATTTGTTTATATTGACCATGAAATAGCTGATTAATGATGCCCTTTTCACTCTGGGGGATAACACTCATCACAATAGACCAAGCATTGGCGCCAACAAGAATCTGAAGGATTATAATAGCACTGGTAGCCATGGAGCAAATTACTTAAAAATTAAAATGTTTTATATAGATCTTTTGTTTGTAAGCAATATTTATTTTCCAACTCTCACCGTTAATTTTCTCCTTGTAAGATAGATACAGTAAATACAACTTCATAACGGGCTCGCCAAAGGGCCAAGGGAGGTAAATGAGACAGCTTCTGTTTATTGGAATTACATAAACTTTCAGCTTTTAATTTCATCTTTTCCTGAATCACAGACATGATTCAAATAAAACTGGCCCGATTAGGAAGACATTTGGTTTGCATAAGCTTTTAAAGGGGCTTATTTAGAGGAGTCTTCTTAAAGCGAGCCAGATATTAAAACCTCTGGTAAGATTCCATTGGGAATTGTGTACTTGGCAAATTGGTGTACTGATCACATATAAAGGGATTGAAGTTGTTTAGGTTATAAAAAATCTATAAACTTATTATAACTCTTTACCTGATCAGTGATGCAACAATTGAGCCAATTGACCTAATTAGGGCCCCGCATTTGCGATGTTGATACCCTATAGCTATCGCGGCATTTGTCTGTCTGTTCGTCTGTCTGCCCACACATTCATTTTCAGAGATTATCTTTCATTGAATTTGACAAGGTGACACACTGTGATATGTATGTGTACAATAGGGTTTATTTTAAAAGGATTCTGAGGTCATGAAGGTCACTGTTACTAAAAAATACCAAGGGGCTATGGTCATGTCAGTATATACCTACTTTGTATCAATTGTAGACATGGTATGTTTCAATATTTCAAATTCTTAAAAACAATTCCTCTGTGTTCACAGGGTTTACCGTCTATCTTCTGTCCAAAGAATGTGATATATTTGATTCAGAACATCTGACAGTTTGCCAGGACATGACACAACCACTAAGTCACTACTTTGTTGCCAGCTCACATAATACGTAAGTATGTAACACTACCGGGTCACATAATACATAAGTATCTTACACTACTGGGTCACATAATACGTAAGTATGTAACACTACTGGGTCACATAGTACATAAGTATGTAACACTACTGGGTCACATAATACGTAAGTATGTTACACTACTGGGTCACATAATATGTAAATATCTTACGCTACTGGGTCACATAATACGTAGGTATGTAACACTACCGGGTCACATAATACGTAAGTATGTAACACTACTGGGTCACATAATACGTAAGTATGTAACACTACCGGGTCACATAATACGTAGGTATGTAACACTACTGGGTCACATAATACGTAAGTATGTAACACTACTGGGTCACATAATACATAAGTATCTTACACTACTGGGTCACATAATACGTAAGTATGTAACACTACTGGGTCACATAATACATAAGTATCTTATAGCGAGTAACATAATATTTAAGTATCTTACACTAATTGGTAACATAATGAATAATTATGTATAATCAGGTTACATAATTCATTAATATGTTATACTGGGTCACAAATAAATCGGCATTTTACAATGGAAACCTTATATATTCGATGTGGATGTGACAATGACAGATCGGGTGAAGGCATCTGCTATACCTTGTAAAACATGTTGTAATATATGAGTTCCAACTCCTGTTTTTCAGATATTTAATGAAGGATCAGTTACAAGGTCCTTCGAGTGTAGAGGCGTACATCAGGGCACTCAACAAGGGATGCCGCTGTGTGGATTGTAAGTTGGAGATGTTTAGATTTTAATGTTATACAGTGAGTGACATTATAGAGGTAGCCATAAAACCTGAACTTGTTAAACCTGTAGGAGTTGTATCATCTTCATTTGATCAACAATTCCTTGAATTAACCTAAAATGTCAACAACTGTCTTTCTTCCTAACAGCTATTCTGTACCAGCTGTTTCATATAGCCTTTAGACTTCAGAGGTATTGAACAAAATGCAATGATAAACTATGTCAATATAACACAGTTTTTACCTGTGTCATGTTTTACACCTGTGTGTTTACCTTGACATAGTTTACACCTGTGTTAACCTTGACATGGTTTACACCTGTGTTTACCTTGACATAGTTTATACCTGTGTTAACCCTGGCATGAATTACACCTGTGTTAACCTTGAAAAGTTTACACCTGTATGTTTACCTTGACATAAATTACACCTGTGTTAACCTTGAATAGTTTACACCTGTGTTAACCTTGACATAGTTTATACCTGTGTTAACCTTGACATAGTTTGCGCCTGTGTTTACTTTGACATGGTTTACACATGTATGTTTACCTTGGCATAAATTACACCTGTGTTAACCTTGAATAGTTTACACCTGTGTTTACTTTGACATATTTTATACTTGTGTTAACCTTGACGTAGCTTATACCTGTGTTAACCTTGACATAGTTTATACTTGTGTTAATCTTGACATAGTTTATACCTGTGTTAATCTTGACATAGTTTATACCTGTGTTAACCTTGACATAGTTTATGCATGTGTTTACTTTGACATGGTTTACACATGTGTGTTTACCTTGATATAGTTTATGCCTGTGTTTACTTTGACATGGTTTACACATGTGTGTTTACCTTGGCATGAATTACACCTGTATTAACCTTGAATAGTTTACTCCTGTGTTAACCTTGAATAGTTTACACCTGTGTTAACCTTGATATAGTTTATACCTGTGTTAACCTTGATGTAGTTTATACCTGTGTTAACCTTGACATAGCTTATACCTGTGTTAACCTTGACATAGTTTATACCCTTGTTTATCTTGACCTAGTTTACACCTGTGTGTTTATCTTGACCTGGTTTACACCTGTGTGCTTACCTTGACCTAGTTTACACCTGTATGTTTACCTTGACCTAGTTTACACCTGTGTGTTTCCCTTGACCTAGTTTACACCTGTGTTTACCTTGACATAGTTTACACCTGTGTTAACCTTGATGTAGTTTATACCTGTGTGTTTACCTTCACCTAGTTTATACCTGTGTTAACCTTGACGTAGTTTATACCTGTGTGTTTACCTTGACCTAGTTTATACCTGTGTTAACCTTGACATAGTTTATACCCTTGTTTACCTTGACCTAGTTTACACCTGTGTGTTTACCTTGACCTAGTTTACACCTGTGTGTTTACCTTGACCTAGTTTACACCTGTGTGTTTACCTTGACCTAGTTTACACCTGTGTGTTTACCTTGACCTAGTTTACACCTGTGTGTTTACCTTGACCTAGTTTACACCTGTGTGTTTACCTTGACCTAGTTTACACCTGTGTGTTTACCTTGACCTGGTTTACACCTGTGTGTTTACCTTGAGTTTACACCTTTGTGTTTACCTTGACCTATTTTACATGTGTGTTTACCTTGACCTAGTTTACACCTGTGTGTTTACCTTGACCTAGTTTACACCTGTGTGTTTACCTTGACCTAGTTTACACCTGTGTGTTTACCTTGACCTGGTTTACACCTGTGTGTTTACCTTGACCTAGTTTACACCTTTGTGTTTACCTTGACCTATTTTACATCTGTGTGTTTACCTTGACCTAGTTTACACCTGTGTTTACCTTGACTTAGTTTACACCTGTGTGTTTACCTTGACCTAGTTTACACCTGTGTGTTTACCTTGACATGGTTTACACCTGTGTGTTTACCTTGACATGGTTTACACCTTTGTGTTGATCTTGACCTATTTTACACCTGTGTCTTTACCTTGACCTATTTTACACCTGTGTGTTTACCTTGACCTATTTTACACCTGTGTGTTTACCTTGACCTAGTTTACACTGGTGTGTTAACTTTTACAGTGGACTGTTGGGATGGACCTACCGGTGACCCAATCATCAAACATGGCCGAACACTGACCACTAAAATTACATTCGTGTCTGTCATAGAAACCATCAACAAACATGCATTTGATATATCTGAGTAAGTATTCCTACATTCCGTAGAGTTAATTTGTTGAACTTTGAGTTGATATTAACTTCTTTGTGGTCTAAATATTTATTTTCACTTTTCTTTGTGTGGTTTTGAAGCTTAAGACATATGATTATTATAAGGAAATACTACTTTTACGATTGTTTCATTTGCATAATCAAACAAAGATGGTATATAGAAAAATACTTTTCAAGGTCACAGATTTCAAATATGCTGAAATCTTTAAATAACTTTGGCTGATAATTGTGTACCTTCACCTTAATTTAAGGTCACAGTGGTAAAATATGTTTAAAAAATACCTTTCAATTTGATTGGAGGGATTTGAATCAAATTTTTCGTGAAGAAAGGAATTTGTGGAGTTAAGGCCATTGAAATTTTACTTTCTGCTCCAGAAACCTTGTAAGAACATTAAGCAGGGGGTATATCTTTGTGAGCTTGCTTACAGTTTCTTGAGGGAGGTCCAGACTCATTACCAAGAGGGAACTGAAATGTCAGCACTTCCTTTTTTATACGCCCGTCAAAGACGGGAACGTATTATGTTATCACGTGAGCGGGCGGGCGGGCAAACGATGTCCGCTCGATATCTCGAGTAATTATTAACGGATTAACTTCAAACTTCACAACAAGGTTAATTACCATGAAACCTCGGACAAGTTCGATAACCGCCATTATCCGACCATAATTT